ATGTTTTAACTACAAAATTATTCCAATCGAAAACATATGTAGTAATAATTAGTTGTTTAGGATTTATCAATGAATTGAATAATATTCCCAAAGGAAAGAAAATTAACGCGGAAAATGAATGTTGAATAATCGACAGGCAAAACTCACATGGAAGCGATTCTTGGAGCGACGTGCCGGCCGGCTTCTTCCCAGATATTGCACAATAATGCACCAGAATTAACTTTCTTCACAACACTTGAAGGAAAAATTAAGTTTTTAGAGCGTAGTTTCGCAAGATGTCTAGTACCGAAAAGCACCCATCTCCTGTTTCATTTTCAAAAAAAAGAGTGATATTTTGCCACACAAAAACGCGCAATGATAAGGAATAACTACAAAATAAAATATGTGTACATTTCTTCCTATTCCATAGGCAACCCATAATATTTAAAATAAAGTAAAATTAACTTAAATTCTAAACATTAGTATTAAATAAACTTTTTGTGATCTAATAGCAACTTGAAACAAAAATCATAGATAGGCCCGTGATATATAATAAGTTTTCAGATATATAGGCCAGTAATGCAGGATAATTCAACTGAAAAATGGAATATTCGATTCTTTAAAGTTCTTACTTGCTGTTCTCGAATACCTATAATATTTCAAATACTAAAAGTATTTGGATTTGGTTATAATATCATGATTATTGATTTAGTATATTGAATGAATCAGAAGAATTTGAATACTTTTAATTCTTAATGGTTACTAAATATTTCTCAGGCATCCATTTGAATAAATTAAATTAGTCGGTGAAAGCAGAAAGATTTTCATATATCCTCTTTATTATTGTGTAATTGTGTATATTGGAAATAAAGAACTGAAAAAAATAAATTTTTTTATAAAATATATTTAAAAGCTAAAACAAATTCAAATAATTGCACAAAACTTTATAGAGGAAAAATTTAAGTCCACAACTGTGCCGCAATTACAATGTCCATCATTCAATGTTCAGTTCCCAGTTGTCAATTATTTAAGTAATCATTCAATTCTTAAAAGTATCCAAGAACCAATTATTCAGTTCTTATTTATTTGATTGTGTCTAACAATAGTAATGAGGAGAAAGACTTAAACTAGTCTAAATCAATTTAAATTAAATTGATATAAATTGCAGTACCTAGATGATTCGAAATAAAAATAATATTTCGATAAATCATGTAGTAATTTTTCAATAATATTTTTAATTTCAAAGTGTTATTCTGTCAAGTATGTAGAAAATTTGTGGAATACTAAACATATTGTTAAATATCATTACTATAGTAATGGGTGTGTTATCTATATTGTTAATACGTAGTAGAAAAAAAAATTATATTAACCCTTGTGCAATCTGTTTTGTCTTTTATATTCCATGAAAGTAGCATTTCTCACACCAGGTCCACAAATAACTATATCTTTTAATAAAGAAAGTTGCCAATTAGGTAAATTATTGCACATTTTTTAGTGTCTACTATTTATTTACTTTTTTAGTTAAAAATCTATACTTTGTCGAGTCGTTTTTCACAAGTTTTGTTACTCACTTGTTGAACTACTTAACCATTATGTTTTGCTTTCTTTTTAATGAAATATATTGGATTTGGTTTGACAACAAATTTATCAAAAATAATTTCCTCCAAAAATGAATCTATTTTTTTCATTATAATCAATAGTTGGCTAGCTGTTCTGTCCTAGACATTTATTATTTACATATTAATACAGGGCGTTCAATTTTATTTTTGTTTTATTTATTTATTTTTTAACTAAATAACCGCTGACAAAAAAATCATCATGTTGCGGCGAAAGACTTAGTATTTGAGGGCAAATAATTTGACACAGAAAATCATCGCATATTAGTTCCAGTGGTGGAGATAGAGGGGTCTCTATGCATATTTTTATAAAAAAAAGTATAGCCGATTTGATATTTTGCAAATGTTTTCGAAAAATATGAAAGAGCATTCAATTTTACCCAGAAAAGGCCCTCTTGTCCAAAGTCGATAGGAGGTGGCGTTTTCAAGAAAAACCGAAAATACTGTTTAGAAGTCAAATAATAATTTTTAAACATTGTGTTACAACTAAATTAAATATGTAGTTCAAAAATTCGGTTAAAATTGTTTTTAATTAATTAAATGAAAATAAATACAAAAATAAATAACGAAAACCATATTACATCAAAGCAAATGTTCGAAATGTAAACCATTTTCTTCGATACATAACTGACACCGACGCTGAATAGAACGTCTCATTTGAATTAAGTTATTGTCTCTGATTTCACTGCATGCGTTCCGAATCCGACGAATAAGTTCATCCCTTGTGTCCACAGTAGTGGTATAAACTCTCTCTTTAATAAAACCCCAGAGGAAAAAATCTAGGGGTGTCAGATCAGGGGATCGGGGAGGCCATGCAACGATACCCCCGCGGCCAATCCATTTTTCGGGAAAGTGGGTGTTCAACCAGTTCCTGACATTTCGGCCAAAATGAGCTGGACAGCCATCAAGTTGAAACCATGCTCGCATTCTTAAATTCAGAGGAATTTCCTCCCACATGTTGGCACTCTCGGTCTCTAAGAACTCTAAGAAATTCGCAGAATTCAGTCGTTGAGGTAAGATGTAAGGGCCGAAAAGACAATTGTTATAAACGCCGAGCCAAATATTAACACTAAATTCGTGCTGAAAATTTCGTGGTCTGATTGCATGCGGGTTTTCATGTGCCCACTCATGCTGATTGTGTAAATTTGTCACACCTCGACGAGTAAAACATGACTCGTCGGTCCATAATATGTGTGATAAAAAATTTCCGTCGTTTTCAATTGAGTTAAGAATCCACCGAGAAAAAGCTATTCTATGTTCCTCGTCACCCGGACGTAAACCCTGAACAGGTTGTAAGTGGTAGGGATGTCTATGATCTCGTCTTAATGTTCTAGAAATAGTGCACCTGGAAACACCAATAATCCTGGAAATTTTTCTGGTACTCGTCGTGGGATCTCTGTCAAATTCGTGCAAGATTCGCTGATTCCTCCTATTTCTGCCAATATTAACGTTAATTATGTTGCGATCCCTATGGACCAGATTCAATCCGTCATTAGCGAAACGTTGATGAACATTAATAAAAACGTGTGGATGCGGCTGTCTTCTATTAGGAAATCGTCTCCGATATTCCCTAGCAGCTTCTGCCGAGTTCCCATTGGCAAACCCGTATATGAAGTGAATATCTGCGTATTCTTGGTTCGTAAACTTAAACGGCATTTTGAATTTGTTGCAATTTTTTTTAATACTCTACACACAATTAGAAACTATAATAAAATAAGCGCAAATGTCAATATTAGAATGACATTTCAAGTCTGATTTGATTTCTAAACAGTATTTTCGGTTTTTCTTAATTTGACTTCTAAACAGTATTTTCGGTTTTTCTTGAAAACGCCACCTCCTATCGACTTTGGACAAGAGGGCCTTTTCTGGGTAAAATTGAATGCTCTTTCATATTTTTCGAAAACATTTGCAAAATATCAAATCGGCTATACTTTTTTTTATAAAAATATGCATAGAGACCCCTCTATCTCCACCACTGGAACTAATATGCGATGATTTTCTGTGTCAAATTATTTGCCCTCAAATACTAAGTCTTTCGCCGCAACATGATGATTTTTTTTGTCAGCGGTTATTTAGTTAAAAAATAAATAAATAAAACAAAAATAAAATTGAACGCCCTGTATCTCAGAAACTAAGCGTTTTAGGACCCATATATATAGGAACTTTTAGACTCAAAATGAGGTCTTCTACTGATTCCTGAAGTCCTGCTATTTAAATGTGAGACACCCTGTATATCATATCAACAAACTTATTTTTGTAGCTTGTTACCTATTATTTTAATTATTTGTATTATTTTTTCTTGCATTAGTGTAAATTTGTTATCTATACATACAGGGTGTTATTTAAGTGCGTAATCAAACTTCAAGGGGTGATTCTGACGAACACTTTATATAAACATGGATCCGATAATGCATCACTTTCAAGATACAGAGTGTCAAACTTGTTTTAAAGAATCGTTTTTTCGTAAATATCTTAATAATCCTTTATCCGATTTTGTTGAAATTTGGCAGTGTTATTTATGGTAGAATGAGGATAATTTATCCTTAACTAGATTAAAATTATTAACTTTAATGACGTCCCGGGGGCACCTTAATCAATATTTTTCACAAAAAAAAAAACGTGCGCCACTGACTTTTTTAAAACTTTAATAAAATTTATTTTTTTTTTTTGTATTAAGCAACTAAAAATAACTTTTTTGTCTCTTCAATTTTTTTCGTATCTTGCTTCCTTTTTGAAGAAAAGAAAATTAAACTCACTTTATTGCATGTCCCTGGGTCGACATAATAAAAAATTTAAAAAATACCAAACTATCAAAAACTGGGGTGTACTTACTATTTTTTTCTATATCAATTCTAGTCTTAGGAATTGTTATAAAAATTAGTGCTAGCTAAAAAAAATTTATGTTTTATTATTAAAAAATGTTTTTTTCGTTCATGGACATGCAATAAAGTGATTTTTATTTTTCTCCAAAAAGGAAGCAAGATATGAGGAAAATTCAAGAGATAAAAAAGTTGTATTTTTAGTTGCTTAATGCGAAAAAAATTACAAGTTTTAAAAAAGTCAGGGGCGCACATTTTTTTTTTTGTTAAAAATATTGGTTAAGGTGCCCCCCAGGATGCAACTGATATTAATAATTTTAATCTATTTAGCTCCTTTCTACACTGCCAAATTTCAACAAAATCGGCTAAAGGATTATTAAGATTTTTACGAAAAAACAATTTTTTAAAAAGTTTGACACCCTGTATCTTGAAAATGAAGCATTACCAGACTTATGTTTTCGTTTTAGAAATCACTCAAAGAATCACCCCTTAATGTTTTGGCACGTACTTAAGTAACTCCCTGCATATACGTATGTATATCGGATGTCCAGTGAAAAGTTGTAATGTTTTTATGTTTGTTATGCAGACCCAACACAAATTTAACATGTCTGAGCTTGAGGTTGCACGTCTGAAAAATAAGGTATGTCTCATAAAAGTTTATATGCATGCAGGTAGTTAGAACTATAAAATTTTTATTATAATTGACTGCCTAGATGTATTTGTATTGAAATTTGTATGCAAGACGCAAAGTTTTTTTGTGAGAATGATTTATTTATTTAGAAATACAGTTGTTTTCAGGGCTATCATGTTTATCGTGTTGTTTATAAAATTTGTTTTAATATATGTCTGTAACTTTTATTATTGAGGTCTCTACCTATCTAGACCTAATTTTGTATTACAAGAAAGATCCTCATTCTTCAGTCAATTTTTATAGGTGGGCTTTCAGACTTGGCACAAAGCAATTAGGTATTATTTACGAAACTGATTCTTCTTCCAAAGTGGAACAGATGTGATCTTTCCAATTAGGCTGTCTTTGGGCTATGTGTTTTCACTGTTCCTTCAAAATTGATCCTATTTGATGAGACATTTTAACAAATCGTATGTATTCCGCCACATCCTGTAGCAAAGGATGGTGATTCATTTTCTCTCCCAATTAAGTTAATAGGCACAAACTTTGTGTTGTTATTAAGATTAAGTATGAATGTTTTTTAATAATAAATTGAGAACTGTACTTATATGTATTTGTGACAATTGAGTTTCAGAGATATGATAATTTTGAATACGAAACAAAGGTTAATTAAAAAAAAATATATAAACTATCACCTGGAATATTATTTGTTTATTAAAGTAGGGTCTTAAATCCGACAAAAAATTAAAAAATGTATATTCAGAGTAATTCTTTGAAAAATTAGGTAAGCTAGGAATAAAAGACGTATTCTGTATGAGAGAAAATAATTTTAAAATATGGAGAAATTGATTTGGTGCAACATTTATTTGAGACTTTCTTTGTTTTGTTAGTGCTTACTGATACTTTTAAAGACAAAACAAAAGTCAATTTAATAAAAAAAATAATAATATTGAGGATATTTTTGGCAAATTATGTAAGCTCGGAATAAATGGTGCACCCTGTAGAATAAAAAATAATTTTAAAATCTTAGAAATGAATTTGGTGCAACTTTTATTTATGGCATTTTTTTGTATTATACCGAGTGTCCCAAAAATAGTTGACAGGCATATAGGGAGGGATAGAAAGAAGGTAGAATTCTGAGTAGAAAAGTCCTTTGGCGTTTTTTGTCTGACGCACCTTTAATTAGTTAGAAATTGAATAAGGTACCCAATCAGGAGTACGCTTTAAGGGAATGCTGAGCGGCAGGAGAAGCATGGTACGGTTAGTAAAGAGGCGAGGGGGGTATAGTGGCAATGGGTTTGCCCCACCACCGCGTTAAGGACGTTAAGGCCGCCGAAATACGGATTAGTTTCAATTATTCATTGTTATTGTTATTTATTAGTAAAACAAATTTTCTAAATTTCTATTGTCATTAAATAAAAATTAAAAATTGCGAATTTTGTTCATTGTAAATTTTCAAGCTCTCATCTGAAGTCCGGGCTTCTGAATTTTTTTTATTAGTAAAAAAATAAAAATTTCAGGGAATTTATATTATTTTTTATTTATAAAAAATCCCCTCTTTTAACTTGAAGTTACTGTTTCTGAATTTTTTTATATGTGAAAATAAAAAACAAACACTTTTAACACTTATGAACTTTTTTTACTTGAAAAATAAATAATAAATAAATAGATAACAATTTGGCGTATTTTTACTAATTCTATTTCATTGAATATTTTACTTGAGGATGGTGGGACAAGCCTGCTGCCGTGATACCTCGCTCGCCTCTTTTCGTATCGCTCGGCATTCCCATTAAAGGGTGCTCCTGATTGGATACCTTATTTAATTTCTACCTAACTAAGGGTGTGTCAAACATAAACACCAGAGGACTTCGTCCAAGAATTCCAACTTTTTTTCTACCCCTATGTGCCTGTCAACTATTTTTGGGACACCCTGTATATTTTGCTAGAGTTATGGAGGAATCCGTATTAACCATGTTATATCATTGTCAAAATGGATTATTAGTCAAGGATTCTAATTTTAGCAGCAACTATCTTTTGTTAAGAGATCTTACATTATTTTAAAATTTCACAGTTAATGGAACAAAATGGTCTGAAGCCAGATGAATCTGAAAAATTTGAACAAGTCAATTATAAACTGAGAGAGGCGGAGCGGAATTTAATGACGACAAAGAAAGAAGTTCACACCTATCAAAATATGTTAGAACAGTCGCAAACCCAATATTTGGTCTTAGAAAAAAAGTATAGTAAGGCCAAACAATTAGTAAGGGAATTTCAACAACGCGAACTCGATATGCTTCATAGGGAAGACTTTTACCAACAGCTTCTTCAAGAGAAAGATACTGAATATAACGCTCTGGTTAAAAATTTAAAAGATAGAATCATAGCTCTGGAGCAAGAGTTGTTGGATACTCAGCGAAAAGCTGGATTGCCTATGATTCTACCATATGATAGTATTGGTTCAAAACAACTTACGCCTCAAATATCTAGAAGACAACCACCTAAACCTCTTTATCAAGCATTAGATCCAGATTTTTCAGACACTGAAATATCAGATGCTAGTCCAGACGATGATAAAACAGCAACTGTTGAACGAAAATTGCCTATAAAAGAAGAATTCGATAGAGCAGTGCCTCCTCACGAATTGTTGGATATTTCTGCCAGCAAGAGTAAAGCGGAACTTGCAAATAGAGGAGCTCTAGCTAATAGGTAAGTGAATGAATTAATATTTATTGCATGAAATTTGGGATAACCGATATGTATCAAATTTGTGTATATTTTAATATAAACACTCTATATATTTTTACGTACACTATTAGAATGCTTTCTTAGGATTATGATATATAGGGTGAGTCATTAATAATGGTATACAGCTTAATGGCATATTATTAACGTCAAAATATAGTGATTGAGCCAAACATGCCTTAATCAATTATTGCTCCTTTTCGTTTTACAGGGTGTTAAAGTTGAAAAAATATTTTCCTTTTTTATCTATATTTTGAGTATGTATGGACCGATTGTTTTGAAAATTTGTAGTTTTACTTTTTTTGAGGAGGGAAATACGAATATGCAAACAGTGTTAGGGTCACATCTAGAGGGCGCTAGTTATACTGTCATATCAATGTAAAAATCTGTCTTAACTTTTTGTATTTTACAATTTTGAATTTTTTAACTACAAATTATTAAATTACGTTCAATTATAAATAAAAAACGGTGTACTAGTTACAAATCGATAAACTAAATCGTTTTCGAGATACAGACATTTTAAGTTTTTGAGATTCGGCGGGAATTAAATTTTTGGATATGATATGGGTGTAGTAGATTACGTCTGATCACTCGGTGCACAGAAGATTGTGATATACCAGTTTCTCGAGATAGAATTCTAGTACTTAGGAGACTGTTGTTTGTGTGTTTTTTTTCTCTTTTTTGTTTGTATACTTTTTAGGATTCCTCTTTATCAAATTTGTAATTTAATTATATTGTCCGCGACTGTTCTTTAAAGCTTATTATACTTGTGTTTTCTGAATGATATGATATATTATTACTTTACTATTTTCATATGATTTTTTCCCTTCCCTTCATCAGCAGGAGTACCACTTTATAACTATTTCACTGATTTGGTTAATTTGGGCACTTTGTAAAATATCACAATTTTAGATTATGCCAAAAGATAATTTTTTTATATCCCATTTAAATATTCGCTCACTTGTAAATAAACTTCACGCTATTAGGGATATCCTAAACAAATATAATTATCATATTCTAGCAGTTTCAGAGACTTGGCTTAATTCTGACATTCAAGCGTATAACATAAGCATAGCTGGGTACAATTTCATAAGACAGGATCGTTCGACGAGAGGAGGTGGTGTGGGTATGTTTGTTAGAAATGATTTAAAATTTAAAGTTTTGTCGACATCCCGCAGTATAGAGCAACTCTGGGTAAACCTTACTGTTTCGAATAAAGCATATTGTATTGGTGTTGTGTATCGTCCTCCTGATTTAAGTTACAATCTATTTTTAACTGAGTTGGAAAATACTTTTGTATGTGATTTACTTCAAACTGATGCCAGTTGTTTGCTTTGTCTTCGTGATTTTAATATAGACATGTTGGAGTTTGAGAACAAACCTGCCATAGCCATGAATGACTTCTTGGAAATACTTGAATTGAGTCAGATCATTGAACATCCTACTAGATCTACTTCACTAATTGATCATATTGTAATATCAGATAAGTCCTTGGTCTCAGATAAAGGCGTAATTAAAATAAACCGACGTATATCAGATCATGACCTTGTTTACGTTAAGTTGGCGACACAGATAAAGTCAGTACCCAAGCAAATAATATATAGAGATTATAAAAATTTGGATTATGAATTATTTATGTTGGATTTAACGACGCTCCCTCTCTTTTACTTAATTGAAATTGATAATATTGATGAAAAATTAGTTTTTTTAAATGACAATTTAAATACCTTGTTTAATAAACATATTCCAACTAAAACATGTACGCTACGTAAACCATACGCCCCGTGGCTGACCGACAATTTGAAGCTACTCATGTCGATTAGGGACAAAAAATTGAAAAAGTTTAAATTGAATAAGAATGCCATTTATTGGCAGGAGTATGGCGTAATTATACTAATACAGCAATAAAAAATGAAAAGAAGGCTTACTTCGGATACAAATTTTGCACTTCCAATTTAAAAGACACCTGGAGAGAATTGAGACGTATGAATGTTATTAATAAAGTAATACCAACTATCCCTGATGAGTTAGCAGATCCAAACTCTATCAATAATTTTCTTGTAACCTCGATTCAGCAAGTTGATAACAACACTAAACACGAATGGATTAGCTTTTATAATTCTAATACGAAGAATAATATACCCAATAGTTTTGCTTTTTCTAGAGTTAATAAAGAAGAAGTTAGTAAAATAATTAATAATGTATCCACCAAGGCGACTGGATCCGACGGTATTAACATAACCTTTATAAAATTATGCTGTCCATATATAGTTCCGTTAGTTACACATATAATTAATTATTGTTTAGAAAATAGTGTGTATCCTTCTTGCTGGAAAGAATCTCTAATAAAACCAATCCCAAAGATTTCTAACCCAACTTAATTATTGTTTAGAAAATAGTGTGTATCCTTCTTGCTGGAAAGAATCTCTAATAAAACCAATCCCAAAGATTTCTAACCCAACTGAATTCAAAGACCTCAGGCCTATAGCAATTCTCCCAGTTTTGTCTAAGGTGCTAGAAAAAATAATTGAAAACCAACTGCGGAACTATCTCAACAACAATCAGTTAATGCTTCTACATCAATCAGGTTTCCGTAAACAACACAGTTGCTTATCTGCCCTTTTAAACGTTACAGATGATATTATTGGCTAAGCTGACATTGGTAAAATCAGTGCATTGGTTCTGCTAGACTTTAGTAAGGCCTTCGACATACTCGACCATGATATATTATTAGCCATATTACACTTCGTGGGCCTCGCGGAACAGTCTATACTGCTCTTTAGAAATTACTTGAGTGATCGTGTACTTGAAACCTTTATCAACCATTGTAAATATCATTTCTATGCAGAGGATACCCAGCTGTATTACTCTTTTATACCGTCTGAGGCTATTAATTGTTGCCAGAAAATTAGTAGTGACTTAACAGCTCTGTCCACTATTGTGACAGGTCACTCTTTAAAACTAAATGGCTCTAAGTCTTCCGTTTTACTTTTTGGTCGAAATACTGTCTTGGATGAAGTTATTCACTCAATACATATTTGTATAAACAATAAACCTCTTTTTGTTACTAGAGAAGCTAAAAGCCTGGGTGTAATATTAGACTCTGGTTTGAGATTTAAATCATTTGTAAATTCAATGTTGAGAAAATCGTTTGCAAATCTAAAACTTCTATACGGTAGTCGGCATATATTAAGTAAGCAAATCAAGATGCTACTATGTGAGTCTATGGTCTTGTCTCAATTTAACTACTGTGATGTTCTTTATAATCCTTGTATAGACAGTACTGATACATCCAGAATCCAGAGAATGTAAAATGCTTGTGTCTGATTTATATGCGGCATTAAAAAATATAATCATATATCCCCCGCTTTCAAGAGTCTGAAGTGGTTGCCAATGAAAACTAGACGAAATTATCATGCAATCTGTTTTTATCATAAGTTGATTTCTACAAAAACTCCTCCGTATCTCTATAATAAAATAACATTTAGGACGGACGTGCATAATGTTAATATACGAAATAAAGGTTTATTATCTATGCCCAGACATAGAACCGCTTTCTTTGAACGGTCCTTCTCCCATAATATAGTCAAACTATATAATGATCTAAGTAATACCTCAGCAGCAATGTCAATGCCAATGTCGCTTTACAAATTTAGGATATCTCTCAAATCTTACTTTTTAAATAGTCAAGTTTAAGATACTTCTCTATTATTTGTTGATTTTTTATATGCTATATATTTTCTTTTTAGTCCCCACATCTATTTTAAAATATATATTTTTTTAGAATCGTTTATTCTCTTTAGGATGCGCGGAAGAACAGTACCCTGCTGATGCAGCGAACTGAGCGTTATTCCTATTTGTCTATATGTAATATGTACCTGTAATAAATAGTAAACATTATTGTACTATATAGATAAATAAAATTATTATTATTAATATGTGGGTCATCTTCAATTGTATTCAAAATATGTTCTTCATCTTGTGCCCAGATTGCAATACCACGTTCTCGAGTGTTACTGAAACAACATTGGAAAATGTTTCTCTGTGGGGGAATACACGATTTGGAAATCTCCGATATTTTTCAACACTTTTTCTGTAGTTTCCTTCACATATCAACTTGTTCACTAAGGGAAAACTTCCCAGCCATTTTTAAAACACTCAGCAAACAATTACTAAAATTAAATGACTTTTTTCCTAATCGTCAAGTTTGACGTTTAAATTCATAGCCAACTTTTGAATTTTCTATGATTTTAAATAACTCCGCTACAATACGTATTATTAGTTATTCATGTTTCTGTTGAAAACGACAAAGGTTTTGGAAAACTAACAAGAGTAAGAAATGTTTTAAAATTAAATTCCCCATAAATAAAGTAATATTCTTTAAGTCTGCCAACGGGTTAAAAATTCTGTCAATTTTTGATGGTGCATCATCCCTTATCAATCTTGTAAGACACTTCAATTGAACTCTACTTACAATCGATTAAAGCTATCGTGCACCAAATCTGGTTAAATTCAAGTATAACTAAGATTGATTTTTTTCGAAATTTAAAACCCCACTTTTAAGGCCTATATAACTTCTCAGGGGTGCAGCTTAGTATAAAGGTAAGTTACGTTAAATCACTATATTTTGGGTTCCCCTACATGCCCCTGGTCTGTGTCGGTTCTTATGCGAAATACCCTATATTTATTTATTTTTTTTTTATAATTTATGAAATAGTGAAGTTATATTATAAATTAAATATTTGACTTCTACAAAGTGTTTCTTGTCCAAAATTAACACAAAAAATTCTAATAAATCAGGGGTCAATTGACTGTTTATATAGAGCTTGAAGATGACCTGTTGAAAATAATTGTTTTTTTAATTACTTTATTACCTGTAATTCTTACATTAAAGTGATATGCATCGTTTAATATATGACATAATTTTAATTAATTGAAATAATTATGGTAAAATTTATATATTTTAATAATAATAATGGTAATGCAGCCACTTATTTTGTGATGATTTTCTTGTAAATGGTAGTTGATTTCATCTGGAAGGAAATATGTATTAAAACAAATTTTATTACTGACTAATGGGTTATTGATGCTATTGTTTTGTAATATTAATTGTTAAAATTTTACTGGGATTATATACCTTGAATCGATTACATATTTAAAAATGTTCATCCATACAAACGTTTTTTTGTTTTTTAGGCAACTTCCAAGTGTGAAAAAGGGATCTTTAAGCAATAGTAGTTCAGATTATGGTTTAGATGAAAGTTATAATTCAGCAGATGAGGTTACCGATTCTGCATTTTCTCAAGCCAGTGAATTTAAGCCAAAATCAAATAGCACCACTATAAGTAGTTCAAGACCCACAACACTTAATACCAAGCCACAATATACTCAAGTACAATATCCTGCACAACAAATGCAACATAACGTTCAAAATTCACAATATATCGTACAATATACTCAGGTGCAAAAGTCATGCCAGTATTCTTCAAATCAAAGTTCTAGTGTAGTTTATTCAAAGATACAAAAGGAAGGGAGTATTGTCCAACAACCAAGTCCGGATCCATGGGGTGAAAATACGAATAGATCTATTAATTTAGCCACTGGCCCACCACCTTCATTAGCTGAACAACTGAAGCAGGTAAGTTAAGCAACGTTTCTGATAATTCTATCATGTTTTTTATACAGTAGTTACGTGTTACAACTTTGACAGTGTTGGACGTGTGTTGGTTAATATGGAATATAGTTTAATTCAGCCGATGCTTTTAACTGATAGCTGTTTGTAAAACAACAATAATATTGCTTTTCCAAATATACAGGATGTTACAAATTCGCTTCCCACTACATGGATCTCGAAAACGGTTAGAGATACAAAGTAACTTAAATGGGGGCAAGGTTGCATAATCAGGGGACCAACATAATGCCTCTAAAAAATCAAGGCTAACATGATTAATTTTTGAAACATTAAATTTGAAAATAAACGAAATTTTGGGAATACGTTTTTGTTTGTAACAGCCTGTATAGGGTGTAACTAAAATGTTTGGTCAAACAAATCACGGATTTTATGTTGGAAATTAATTAAAACTGTTCCAAAATCAGTATTGATGCAATGTTTATTTTTTAATTTCTTGCATAATAGATTTTGGTATTGATAAACAATTGAAATATTTGATGTGAACATCTTGTTAGACAATGGCATATCTATATTACCTTCGTATTTTATGTAAAGATATTTTCAAGTCTCCTTCATATTTATTCATATTTTATAGGATTACTTAATAAATTAAGTATTTTTTATAAATTCCAGTATTTTGTAATATTTTTTAATTGATATGGTGATAAAGTGTAACATTAATAGTCCACAGTACAGGCCCCCTCTGGAAAGTTGATTACCACATACTTTATAACTCCTGAGGAGCTTCGTTTTGACAAGTCTATCACATTTTTCCTCTGCGACTTTTCTCGATTCCTCCGCTTTTCCACTCGGAAAACTCCAAAAACATAGCAATTTCCCGGGGTCTTGAAAACTCAAGACCACATCTTTTATTTTTAGCTTAAGTAACTGGAAATTTTGTTGCAAATGCCGATTTAAATTTGTCCGACAGAAATTCCTCAGACATTGACGTGTCTACCGGTCGAAACATGCCAAAATAGCAGGGTATTGAAAATCAATTACCACATAGGTAATTTTTAGTAAAATTAATTGTAAATAATTAATTCAGTCAAAAGGTATTGTTGTCCGACAAATTTCAAGCCGCGTTTTTTCAGTCCGACAGCTGGAAATTGGAATTCTCACAGGGTATGAAAAATCGATTACCACATGTCGGACAAAAATAACACACGATAGAAAAGTGTTTTTTATAAGCAAAAATTGTAATGTCCGACAAAAATATATCCGCAAATCGTCAGTCCTACAAAAAAAGATGAAAAAAATTTCGTAAAAAATGTACACTTGTATTTATAATTTCTAATAAAGTATTTTCATATATTAAGCTAAATTCCATAGAAACATATATATATTTTTCGTTTTATTCCTGTAATTGTAAATCTCTTAAGCTCAATTTATTCAAATAAATATCGAGAAAAGAATTAAACGATTTCAAAAAAGTATGTATGGTGTAAAATTATGCACAAAAGTTTTGGGATTTTCTTTTAGAAAAATAGGAAAATATTTGTAAAGAAAAATAACAAACGAGAATGAAGACTTCAAAGAGAAAAAAGGATTTTTATATCAAGTATAATATTAATTTATTTAGAAATACCTAGTGCACGATGCACTAATATAGTATGTAAGTTAATTACTTTAAACTGCCTGAAACAGTTTATAGTCATAATCCTTTTTTTCCTATGGATCCTCAAATACATAATATGTTGATGTGACAATTTTATTACAGAAAATATATAAAAATACAATTTTATGTAGAGAAAATGTCATTGCAATTTTAGCCATTTAATTATCCTTCTTTGCTTGAAGAATCGTTTTCATCAGAGTCATAATTATCATCGCAATCATCTTCATCACTTTGATCTGACTCTGAAATGAGATGCACAAATTTATTTATAGAATATTTTTTATTAATAAAATAAATACGAGATATACGAGTAAATAGAATAAATACCTTGAATATCGGTTAATAATTGACCTATTGACGGACTTTCTGGTCCATCGAACCAATAAAACTGGTATTTGTTGTCAATCAATTCCCAACCGCACTCTATGGGTTCTTTTTCTGTCGGTGTCCTTAAATACGCTTTGCACCAAATACTGCTAATGTACATTGTTCTTTTTATGTGCTGCAGTAGCTCTTGTTTTGTTGGCGGTAAACACGATGCATCATATCCAACAATTTTTTTTTTTAGAATATTCTCATTATCACTTCGAGATTTATATCCTTTTTCGAACAGTTCATAACGTCCTTTATTTACGTCTCTTGATTTTAATGAATATATTTTACATACAAATTCTTCAATAGTTTTGAATACTTCACTTGAAGAATCTATTTGTGATGGAGAAATCTGAATTAGTGTGATGAAAGCTTCTTGAAATTTAATATTTTTTCTTAAAAGGTTAAAAGGCATCTTTTTGCCTTTACGATAAAAAGATGGATTGTAATCATTTCCAGTGAAGATATGGCACACTGCAAGTGATCTCGAAATTTGTGGACCAAGGCTATTATAAATTTTATTGATATCAAGATATAAACTTTTTTTGCTTGTACTCATGTCGATGACTATTTCAGTATCACCTTTCCGAAATTGAAAATTTGTTAACATAATCACTGGAATGTCGGAGTCTGTGCAGTGAACGCGTATGCGTTGATTAGAGTTTAGGCTGCAAATATGGTACACAATATTTGTATCAGCTTCTTCGTGATCACACGTTAGATCGTAATTGATGGTTCTTCTCATTTCATTATTTGATGATACCTCAAAAACGTAGCATCGATCATAATTCAACATTACTTTTTTATTTTGGCATAATACAACAAACTCATGGTTGGTCCAATCTTGAATTAAAAATTCCACAAATTTTTCTTTGAAATTTGTGCTTCTTAATAGTTTATTAAAATCTGTGGAACGCTTGTTTTCTCTTTGAATGTCAAAGTACGCTTCTATTTCGCCTCTAAGTTGGTGTTCGTAATCTTTTATGCTGGGCAGATTATATTTGTCAAAAATTATGTGGACCTCTTTTCTATTATTCGTGATGCGTTGAAAAATACGCTGCGAAATTTTGCTATAACTGGTTGGAACATTTTTCATAGTATGCAGCAAATAAAACCCATCTACAATATGCAGGTCTGCTTATGGAGGATTAATATTTTTTTCTTGGTGTGACAATAATTCTTGAATGACTACTGACTTTTGTGTCTTGCAGATTGAACCATCTACGTGACAGAAGGCAAAAGAAATAGGAGCGAGAGGATATGTTAAAGCCTTTTCTATGTCTATTTGATTTTCCATTGATGCATATAATAGTCTGCCGAAAACATCCCGCTGAATTTTTACTTCCTTTACAGTTCCACAGATTTTAATTTTTTTTGTATTTTTGTAGTCAAAATTTATAATTTTGTTTTTTGAGAGAGCTCGATCGAATCTCTCTGGATCAGCATTTGCTTCAGATACAAATTGGTTCCGTTTCTTCTCTCCTTCAATTTCAACAGATGATAAAAATTCATAAATTTCGTTAGGTACTGATTGTCCGGATGATATGTTGTATAAACGATCTTCTTGTAAATTTGAAGAAAAACGGTTTGTACACTGTCTGACAAAATCTAATAAGGTATTCAAATTTTTACTCCAATGTGTTATCGCTGATTTCTTTAAATCTTTCGAGATATCGTCTTTTTTTCGCATATTACAAAAGTCCAACAAATTTGTTGTTAAACTTGTTCGTAAAGAATGCGTAACTAACCATTTTCGTCGAGCAGAAAACGAATTGGTAATGTTGATAATTCCCGATGACCTGGAAGCTGCATCTGCATTGATCGTCTGTTCTAAGGTCAAATCAATTGGGATTCGCGAAAAAGGTTTTGGCGTTCTTCGAACACCAAAGAAACAATCTTTATAATCGTTGAGTAATCCTGGATGTGTTTCTTCTATAGTGGATAATTTATCGATATAAATGGTCAGATATCTAGCGTAATTTTGATGATTCATAATAAAGAATATATTAGCCATTTTTGTTAATACAAATTTGAACATATCAAAATCTGCTGTACGAATGCTATATTCCATCATCAAATAATAATCTACAAGTTGCACGTACATTAAATAAATCTGTGGCGTTTTGCCATGTTTACCTTGTAAAGTGTTATTTTTAAAATGATCATATCTTGCGAATAATGATTTAGTGGTATCATCAGTTATCTGTGGATGATCATTCTTTTGAGCATTAAATTGCAATAAATAAGTTTTAATGTCTTCGAAATATGAATCATTCAAATGTGAGTATTGTATAAAACTCTCAAAGTGGAGGATCTGCAGAGCTAGAGATAGCAGAGGATGAATTTTCTTGCACCTATTAAAATGCTTGCCTATCAAAAATGTATTTACTAACCCACTTGCTAAAATATCGCTATCTACAAGTATATTCGTCAAACCAGATCCACTTATGAACTTTCCTATAGCTTTATGATACGACATCATTATATGAAAAGGTCCTAAGTGAATAAATAGTTTAGAGAATCCATCATCTGCACTTTGAATTCTTAAAGCTATTTTAGCCATAGCTAAGTCATAAGTGACATTGTAGTAAATCTTTCCACATTCTTCTGCGATTTGTAAACTTCTTCGCAAAGTTTCCTTGACTACAGCAGGATCCGTGGGGTATTATTAATTTGAGTTAAATACTCAATTTTTTGCATACCACTTATATCTTTTAATATTTTCGCATGATATCCCACCCACATAGGCGTGCTGTCGATTTTATTCATATGCGACAATAACCACATAAAATTGAAATGGTGAAAAACAACTACATTTTGAGGATGTTCTATCGATTGATACTACTTTGCCAAAATAGTGGACGAACTTGCTTCGCTTGGCCAAAATCTCCAAATTCTTCAGCGTCGAAAGCTCGTTTTCTTCGTCCGTATAAATCGCGCAGATTCAACGAAGATGAAATGATTTCACTTCTGAAGTATTCATCATTCCTTTGAATAATATTCAGTTGTTCTTCTGTAGGTATAGTTAGATATATTATACCTACTGTATCATGCAGAGTATCTTTTCCCATAGTTGACTTTCCTGAAGTCTCTACAAATCGATCGAAATTATCCCATGCTATTCCCGAAGATAATGTGACACATTTCTCAATCTCCAATTGTGTATACACACTAGTTAGTACATGTAGAATTATATTATCTACTTTTTGAAATTTGGTCAATAACCTTATTCTTTTGGGACAAGACTTGGTTTAATGTTTAATTTTACATATTAGGCAAAATGTAAACGTACATAAATCGAGGAAGTGTAAACTATATGCATAGATCAAACTTTACATAGTAATAGAAAAAACAGCACCATCTTGCTGAAACCACAAATCATTTATGATTGGAAACAGTCGTTTTAGTTTAGGGAGCAAATCGTCTCGCAGAAATTAAAAATATCTGGGACTTGTTAAAGTTCTTTCAAAAAATTATGCTCGTGTGATATTACTTTCTCTGGGTACTGAGTGTGATACTACTGCATCCAATGTGGATTTTCAATTGCCCAATACCGATAAGGTTGACTGTTTACAGGATCATTTACAAGGAATGTAGTTTCATCAGAAAAAAAGTCTTTTTAGAAACATCGGATTTCAATTGTTTTTTTTTCCATTAAAATTTTACAAAATTTGACCCGTTTATCAAAATCGTCTTCCAAAAGCTCCTGAATTAAGGTAACTTGGTAAGAGTGCCATTTTTCCTTTTTTAGTTGTTTTCTACTACCTTTAGGGACGTGATTTACATGACCCATTTATCTAAACTTTTCAATTTTGCTTACTGTGGAATGATAAATAGCTACTCAGTTGGGGTATTTATTACTAATAAAGTCCAAACTTTTCTCTTTTGTTTCTGATAGTAGCGCAACGGTGCAGTAAAACTTAATTTGGCTAAATTGATACAAAAACGGGTGAAGGCTTAAGGAAAGAAAAAATACACGAAAGTATAGTCTTTGCGATATCAATTGAAGAACTAAGTCGTTGACGGTATGTACCAGGTTCGGTCGCTGACGCAGCAACTCGGCATTGAAATATTTGAAAAACTTGTTCCCATATTTATTTAACCATACCCATATACAGGTCTGGTCGAACTACATGTGGAGATGGTAGAAATGTATACGCCCATTTGAAGAATGCAAGCGCGGGCAAATGAAATCTGACACAACTGTATTGGCCTACTGGGCAATAAATCTCAGCTTTTGACAAGTGATTGACAAATTGCTCAGCAGTGCAGTGCAGCAATGCGGAATTTGGTGTGATTTAGGCAATTTTAATTTTTTATAGGCACCTTCTATTAATCATTTATATTACAATTGCGAAAGGGAGAAATAATATTACAGCATGGCATTTTGGAGACCTTTTGAAATGGAACAAAACGAAATTTACTGTCAATAAAATAAAATTGTTTGAGAACACAAATAATTAAAGTATGTTGTTGGACAAATGGACATATAATAGAAATTTTCTACACATTATATACAATTATAATTTTTTACCTTTAGCAGAAAACTTTTTTAGGGATGCCTATGAAACTCATTAAATTTGATTGCTCGGTTTTTTTATACATGTTCAACTGACTTCGGAAAGACTACGAATTTCTCTAAAATAATTATTATTTTAAATTAATGGTAAATTAATCAAGTGATTTGGTGTAATGGAATGTGTTAAACTGAAAGCTCCAAACAAACGCACTTAGTTATAATGGCAATAGTATTACAAAAATAGCTAAAAAGTGACGTTAAAATGGTGCTGAAACAAAATGAATATTTTTGTTAGAATCATGTTAAAATTCTGTTTAATCCAAAATTAAATTAAATATTTTAAATTCATACAGAAGGACTTGACGTTATGAATTGTTCACTTAGTTAACTAACATAAATATAAATATATAATATAAAAATAGTCAATGCATGCTCACTAATTGAAATTCCGCCAGCAGCTTTAAACTAATAGAGGTGTTTCATTTATTATAATAAAGCAAAGTGGTATTTCAAGATATATTATTGTACCATATGAATAAATGTATTTACTTTACTGATTATGTTGTTATAGTGATTTGTAAAAAACTGTACGTAATACAAAAAAAACTAACAGCAAATTTGTAATTAGTATCATTTAGTTATTTATGATCAATTATGTATATCTACATTTTATAAGGTATTAAAATGTAGGCCTGTGTATTCCTTCTCATACTTTAATTAAGGACGAGAATGGCAGCGTCAATTTTACAAATTCAATTTAATATTTAATGTATATAGTATGTCTGCGGATTGAGTTTACATGATGAGAAATGGACCAAAAAGTAAAATAGGAAAAAAGGCATTCTTAATAAAAGGTTTGCTTGTTTAAAAAATACGAATCACTATGACGAACTTCAATTTTGTTGTTCAGGATCAAAAACACAAAAATGTTATTTTGCGTAAGAGTAAACATACCTTATTTTACAAGATATGAAAAATTTTTACTTGAAAAATGAATAAGTCACGTTATCACAAAATGAATTTTTTGTATAGGTAACAAAGCACATAACTAAAATACGCTTTATTCAAGTGTAATTTTTAAATAATAATAAATATAAATTGTAGGAAATTAGTTTACCTTACAAGGTAACATAAACACAAAGTTTTTTCCTCATCTAACAAAAACTTATTATATTAATCAAATTTATAATAAATGTTCAAAATGACCTTCATTTTCTAAACACAAATTTACTCTGCATTTCATACACGCGTACAAGTTCATTTGGTGTTATAATGTTTATTTCATGTTCAATTGTTGCTTCCAGCTTTTAAAGTGTGTGTGGAAAGGTCTGCCTGTGGACTTGCCCTTGCAAATGCAATGTTTTTTCCTCATATCTTTTAATAAGGATTAACTTGTTTTTAAACTCATCATATACATTATTAGTATCATCAGTTGTTCCACACAGGACTGCAAAAAGTAAGATCAACTCCCATTTGCATTGCTTGTACCACTGCGAAATATGCCATCAAAATAAATGCATCTTGTTCCAATGTAAACGATATTTTTTACCCAAATCTATAAGAAATAAGGAAGCAACAAATGAAACATAACCTTAAAATGTTCGGAGAGAAACGTCGAATTTTCGGAGTTCTGAAAAGAAAAATTTTTTTTCTACTCAACACACAAAAAGTAATTTGTAGAAGAGCACAGAAATACTGATAAACACTGTTAAATTGTACAAACAACAGGCATAAAAACACGAAAGTTTGGTAATTTCTGAAACACATCTAAAAAAATCAAATTTACTGAGCGCCAAAACAAATCTGGCCACGTGGGACTCGGGGCATTTATGAAGGCACTGTAGAAATATGAAAGAAAGTTTTGTTTTAGTTGTTACTTGTTAGTATTGTATTATTAAATATTTTTTTCTATTTTGTTAATTTCTACATAAAAACAGAAAGCTTTTATTAAAGTATTAATGTCTGTAGGTTTTAGCTGAAAGAGAAAAGCGTCTTGGTACTGACAGTATTAATAGCTCCATAGATGAATTGAATGACAAATCAAAAAGTGATCCTGCTCACCATTTGCTTGAGGAAATTAGGCAAGCAGTGAATGAAGCAAATGCCAAAGGTATGTTCAACTTATTTTTAGTATAGATGAATAAAATAGACATTTGTGTTGTAGTAAAGAAAGTTGTTCCTGTTACATTATCACCCCCAGGTAGTACGCCTTGGCAGCACCAAGGTAGCACTTCACCAACGCCACCATCCCCTTCAAGCTTATCTTCTGGTTCTGTATCCCCTTCGAGGCATGACGCGTCATGGGCAACTACTGATCTCAGTTTATCTTCTTGCAGTATAAGTAGTGATAAGAGGAGCTCGCACTTCTGGCAGTCAGCGCCTGTTTCAGAGTGGAGTAAAGAACAAGTATGTATCTTTTATTTATAAATAAGATACTTATATCAAATTCTAGAAGAGTCTACGTATTTGATTTTCTATTAGTAAGAAAACAATGACTAGTAATCTCATAATAGTATCCATACATTACTTCTGGTGCAAATATTTAGTAGGGACATAAACTATTTTAAAAACTTAAAATTTTTCATACATTTACTACATTTCCATTAAAAAATTCTTAGTTGTACATAAAAAATGTAACGATAAATATTAATATAAAAATTATATCAATTAGATAATATTTAATATGTTGCATGAAACTTTTATAAAAATTAAAATTATATGAAAAAACAATTAACAACTGTTTATATTAACATGAGAAGCTTCCCTTTACCTAAATATAACCATTTTTGAGATAATCGACATTATGTAGCAGGGGTCGGCAAGAATTTTAGGTGGGGTCCTGATACTTTTGAAAATTTTTAACGAGGTCCAGAAATTATTACGAGGTTACAGAAAATTAAAAAGTACATATATGCATAAGGTAATTATGAGATTTGAGTATTACAAATATTTTACAAAAAGTGACAAGTTAATACCATTCCTGTTTGCACTATGAGCTCTAACCTTCGTATGCGCAGTGACAATACTCTGCCGCCTATGGAAAAGAGATCAAGTGGTCTTATAAGTAGTATAACTAAAGAAATAATTAACCAGTCCGAAGTACAGTGGCTTCTCGTTCCGTTGACTGTCGCTGTTAACTCGTGTCAATAAGATCGTTCTGTTGTTGAGACGTCGTGTTTATGGACTTAGATTGTGTTGTATTGTTGTTTTAAGTAACAGAAGTGCAGTATTAGTCGTAATGTAAATGTAAAAAGTAAGAAACATGCAATTGCTATTTTATTAAAATTATTCCTTATTTTTTATTGTGCTTTTGCCAAGTCCTTGCTTAAACTAATTCTTCAATGGATAACGAAAATGGTAATGCGTTTTCTACTGTCGAGCGTGCAGATATGGTGCGGCAGAAAAAAATGCTCTCAGGGCAAATTGGTTATACCGGAAACAATATCGTCATCCACACGCAATTACTATTTTACATTGTGTTCAACGGTTGCAAGAGGCAGGAAGTGTTAACACTTGAGCAGAAGGAGGCGGCTTTCAAGTTAAACCGCATTGTTGAGGATGCCATAATAGCTACTGTTGGCGAACAACCTGGGAATAGTGTTCGTTGCATTGCACAATGAATAGGAAACTCGCCATTGCATCCATTAAATCTGCCGTTAAATGTTAAATCTGTATCATCTACAACCTGTCCAGCAGATTTTCTCAGTAGATTGTCTGCAACAAATGTGTTTCTGCCGATGGTTTTTGAGGCAATGCATATGAGAAGTAGATTTTGCAACAATCGTGTGTGTAACAGACATATCAAAGTTTACTCTTGATGGAATTGTAAACTTTCATACCTCATGCACATTCAGGCTCATGAAAATCATCACAGTATTCGAGAAATTCATTTTCAGGACTACACATTACTATACATACCAGCATGAATGTGGTATTTCCAAGATAGACCTCCTCCACACAGCACTTAAATGGTTTGAATTATCCTCAATCGTAAATTCCCTCGGCGATGGATAGGACGATTTGGTACTGTGATGTGGCCACTTCGAGCACCAGATCTTACCCCTATGGATTTTTATCTTTAGTGTACAGTGAACCATTTAATAAGGAGTAAGAATTACATACCATATTATTGTAGGGGAACGTACCCATACTACGTGACTAATTTTTTACAATTTTTTTTTGTATTTTGTTATTTAGTTATTACAAGTATTGTATTTTTCTGTATTTGCATCGAAAACCTGTTTTTTCCTTTTTGTTCATTTCATGCATTTACATATGGCAATACTCATCTGCTCAGATTTTCGATTAGTTTAGTTCGGCAAATGTCCGCAGGTTGAGCTATCGAATATTTTTTGCCAGGGCCATACTAAGATTTATTTTTTCACTACAAAATTGATGTTCCATTTTCTTGACAAAACTACTTGACATTAACCTTTTTTTTTATGTATATTCCTAGGTATTTAATTTTTTCTGCATTAAAGACACCACATCCTGTATACTCAAGAATATTGCATTAAAAATACCACCAAATGTGTAATATTTTTAATTTAGCATGATTCAAAATTATGAGCTGCATTGTTTTGGCTTTTACAACTGAAAACAAAACAATTAATAAAACAATTTTGGTTACAATTTTGCATTTAGATGTTTCAATTAATGTCATTGTCAAGACTAATAGTTAAAATCTGTTGTAATAAAATAATATCTAATTGCAAATTAGAAATAATGGATAAAATTATGATTAAAAATTCCATATACATATTAATAGTTAGTAGACAAAAACATAAAATATTAAGTTCTTTGTTATCAAAATGTTCAAATAAAATGGTTTTAATTGATAAATCACTTTTACAAGTATGTTTTGCAAATTCAAAATTATCTAATTTGCGACAAATTGCTCAATATGGCTGACACTTTCCTTCCAGTTCCTTCAGATATCAAATGGACTGTAGCAACCTCTAGCATAAGATGCAAGATCTTTGGATTTAGTTTTACTTAAAAAATCGGTACAGAAATGGTTAACAGTTAAGCCAACAGATATTTAGTAATTTTCCTAATTTTTCGTTTACTTCATACAAGTAAAATTGTAAATTGAAATAAGAAAAATAACTACCGATTTAAATTAACTAACTCTTTCACCAAAAACATTAAAAAATAATAAAAATATACATATTTAAGAAATGAACATTTCAATTTTCTTTGCAGTTGAAGGTTACTGTCCCGTTGGGACAAAATGTATATGTGTATGTGGGACCAAAATACAATCAACAATTCAACACCACACAATTTAAAAACATATGATTGAAACATTAATTTTTCCAGAAAAACATATTTTGATATGAAAGTGATGTTAGAAAAATTTCCTTGATAATCATTTGTTATTTTTTGGTTTAACTAATTTCTCAATATTCTCCAGATGCAGTTTTTTAGTTTAAGTTAATGTTCTTTTTTTATTTGCAACTGCAGGACAACAGTTATTCACTACGAGGGTTGCTTTTTATATTTAGGGAATAGAGAATAAAAAAGAAATTAATCCTCGTATGTCGGCTGTATGGTTTTTCAAAATATTCACCATGAAGATCAATACACTTTTGCTTGCCCTTGAACCATTTCCGAAGCACTTTTCATTCCTATTAAGGGTACCTCCAAAACATGCTTTTTGAACATATCAACCACTTGATAACTAAAAACATTGACCTCATAATTCATTTTTGATATGCGGGAATAAAAAAAAAAGATATCGGGTGCCATATCAGGGGATGAATCATCAATTCGACATTTTCATTTCTCAAAAAGCCTCTTCAACGGTTGGTGTGCCTTATTTTTCCAAAGACTGCTGTCAAACAAATGATTGTGTGCCATTGACCATCCAATATTGCACTAATGGTACAGTTACCACATGTCCAGTTTTTCCCAAAAGGGACAGGTGACCATCTGTTGGATTTGGCTCATCTTGAAAGACCCATACAGTCGACTGCTGGGCTCATATGCATAGATCCATGTTACGATGTCATAGAGGTGTTCTGAAGTACCACAATTGTATTTCTTGAGAATATCTTTCGACCAATCGACATGCCTTTTTTGAGCATTTGTCAAATTATGTGGGATCCAACATGAACAACCAAATGTTCCTGCAATATTAAATGTATGCTGATCCCACTAATGCCCAAGAATGCCTCAATCTTACGATAAGTCACATGAACAGTATCCGAATTTGGTCGACCTTCACAAAATTCGGTAATGAGCGAACCATGGTTATATTGAATTCCATATACTGCCTATATACAGTGGTTTTTGATGGTGCTGCATCGCCAAAAGTCGAATTATGTTGATCAATGCACTATTGTTGAGATAGTCCAGATCGAAAATTGTTGTCGCACGGAAATGTTCACGATTTAATTTATATTTTATGTCCGAGATGAATTTTTAAGTCAGTGTAAACAACACAAATAACACCTGTACGTCAAAATGTTCTGAATAAGTTTACTGATAAAAAGTCAAACTTTACGCTAGGGACGTTGATTGTTAGATGGCAGCACCAGCATCCATTTCCAAAATATAAAAGACAACCCTCGTATTACTAGTTATTGTTGAGTACTAAAATGTTTAATACATAAATCTCTTTCCTTCAATACTGAAGACAAAATTATTATTTGACAAACCATGTAAAGTTTTATTATTATCAGCCAATAATTCACTGTCATCTGTTTTAGGTGTGCCAATGGTTATTAGCAATAGGAATGGAACAGCATGTTTCGAAGTTTGCTGAATTGCAAGTGAATGGTAGTGCACTGTTGTTATTGACCTCAGCGGACTTTAAAATATTAGGTATAACAAGTGATGATAAGAGCCGCCTTAAACGTAAAATTAAAGAATTAAAAGTGCAAGCTGAAAAAGAAAGAAAGCAAATGGAAAAAGATCGGAAAGAAAAAGAGAAACAACACCGAAAAGCAGAAAAAGCCAGTAAGAAAAAATAATTGGCTGTCTGTCATTAAGAAATTTTTCAGTCGGCCTACAAGGTTTGATTATATACATACTTGATACTTGAGTATCAAGTATGGCCATACAAAAATTAAGCTCAATGGTTTAAGTGTAAATTTGTAGTTGTGGTTAAGATTGATGTTTGTAATTTTAGAAAGAATTGTGCAACCACAATAATGTTGCCATCATTTGTGAATAATATACTTTAAAATGTGCTCGTGCTAGTTAGAAGAACTACCTATGTATATATTTTATAGAAATGTGACGATAAGATAAATTAGTTACATTTTCGTGTACTTATGTGGAAAATGTAATATTTCTGAGTTCCTTATATCAGACCAGGTCTTTAATTTTTTTTTTAATACTGAAGCTGTTACATATCAGCTTTTTAAAATAAAATATTTTAATTTTAGTTGTAATCGTCATTTTAATATATTAATTTTATCGAGTTATTTTATAATTTATATAAATTTTTAAACTAATTTTGTGATAAATATTGAAAATCTGTAGTAATTTATGGAAATATTTTTTGTTTTATAGTGATGTGATTGTAAAATATAAAATATATATTTTTTTGTTTTAACAAATTGTGTTGGATGTTGACTCACATGTAATTTATTATACATGTTTACACAGTATTTAAGTATTTATATTTATTTCTAGACTTCAATATTGTATGTCTTATATAATTAATTTATTTTTTTATAAATCGTAGTACAAACACAAATCAAAGTTTTCTCATTTTTGTTATCGTTAATTTGTTTTGTGGGACCAATCCTGTTTTATTCCCCATTTTAAATGAATAGCTGCTTGTTTTAGTTGTTTCAATTTTCAGTCTCTTTATTACCACATTGTAAAAACAAATCAAGGCAGCTACTTTATAACTGTTTGTGATTTTCTTGGAACTTTTGTAACTGATATATAAATTGTAGATCATTCAATAAATGATGTATTTCCAAAAATTTTATTATAATTATTTATGTTTTACCTGTTTCAGTCCAGTGGTGGCTCGCCAGGTGATGCAAGTAATGCACCGATTCACTTAAAATTTCCGTTTGGTTGTGCAATTCAAAATTATTTTGTAATTTAGGTATAATTCTGTATTGAAAATGTATTGTGTTTGTTTTGTTTTATACGCAGAAGTAAACAGAATAGTGTGAATAGTGTGAACAGAAGGCGGTGAATGCCTTCTAAAAAAACATTGCCTTCGTTGAGCATGAACGTTAACCTCGTACAACACAACGTAGAGCATAAGCAAGTGACGTGGATCGAAATCATTTTGTATTTCGCTTCACTTCATAGCGTTGTTTACGGCGTTTGTCTTGGCAATGAGGCGGCCAACACGAGAGTCAATTGCGGCATGGGGGAACGAGTAACGTAAAAATTGAAGCAGCATTGCCATTGCCCATCGCCTGATTTTATTTCAAATACCATTTTCCAGATGGAAAATCGAGGACAAAAAGGATTTTTTAAATTGCAAGAGACCTGTGCCTTCTCTCGATGTGGAAAAAAGGGGAAAGTCAAAAGACAAAGTGTACATTCGGAATGAATGGTATTCGGAGTATAAGTGGTTCTGTGGAAATGTTTATTTAAAAAAACTTTTATGTATGCCGTGTTTAATTGTGGGTGTAAAGTCGAGTGGGTGGAATAAGGAGGGATTTAACAATTTTGGGAACGTCACATGAGGCTGTCGTAAACATGAAGCTTCTTTGGAACATATATGGTGTGTTAATGTTCGTAGAAGTCCTTGAGCCGAACTAATATTTCAGTTTTATAAAATCTAAATGATAATCCTTCTCGTGAACGTCAGTTTTTCGGTACTATTGCAAATGCAACTAAAAATTTCCAGATTCATTTAAAGCCCGCGGCGCTTTTTTTTTTTCTTTTTGCTCGATGAATATGCTTCACCCATTCTCAATGTCACGAGTCGACACTCTTTCGGTCATCGGTGTTTAAGAAAGCGTATAACACTGCACCTTTTAACTAAATGCTTGGCCAGTGACGAATCATACTCGGGGCAACCATCTAACAGTATTGCACCTAGAGATTGCACTCCAGTGTCATTTTTTCTAGGGTTCACTCTTTAAAAAGTATGTTTTACAAGGGTTGCCTTTTATATTTCGGGAATAATAGAGAACAGAAAAAGAAATTAATCATCTTATATGGCTTTATTGTTTTTCAAAATATTCTCCACGGACATCAGCATACAGTTTGAAACATTTGAAACAGGGACATCCTCATAAAATTTACAGGGCGATTTTGATCAAATTTATTTTGAATTGTAGAGAGGGGAAACGTGTACTTTTGGACCAAGTGTCATCCTCTTTATACAAAAACCAAGGCCTGCCAGATCATTTTCAGGACAGTAAAAATTGGAGAAACCATATTAGCGATTTTTTTTAGAAAAAATTTGAGTTCACCACTGGATGAAGCGACCCTTAAAATGGGCCTATCCCAAATTTCATAAAAAAATATTGCATATTAATAATTCTGTGTAAAATTAAAAATCACATGAATTTTTTTTGTCTGACGAAGCAAGTCATGGAAAAAATGTCAAAAATAAATGACAATAACAATTTTTATTCATAATAATATTCAACAAAATTATTCAAGTTTCAAAAGAGAAGAGCTAATTAAATTCTTGTTATTACCTCCACCAATCCGCCGTTTATGTCAAGGCATTTATCATACCTTTTTTGTATTGTAACGTACTTTATTTTGATGGACGGTTCTGTTCTAACGTTACTTGTGGACGCCCCGGTAGACTACCAACTCTAAACGGAATTTTAATTCGCAATTTCAAATTCTAATTTACAATATTCATAAGCGTCACTGACGTCCTTGTTTGGACGCCTAATTTTGTGACGTTCCTCGACTATTGTTTTATCGGCAGCGGTGGTCGGCAGCCGGCGGAGGTGAGTGACGTCACAGGAACATACTCCGGATTATAATCTTTTTGTTCCATTAGTCTCGGGCGCCAGTTTCCCTATCTTTTACGTGGGGTACACTCCATGTGAACCCTATCCTCGGTGTAGATTAAGTACTCGGGAAAGCTACAGTGAAGAAATTTTAAATCCAGGGGTCTGTTATATTTCTCTTACTTTTAATCAAAGTAGTTCTCTGAGTGTTATTTTACTTTTAAAATAAACGGACTTATTAGTGTAGGTCACAGGAAGATATTATGACTTTGCTGATCGGAATTTATCAATGTTATCGGTGTTAAGTATGACGACAACTGGAAATATATTTACTAGATATATTTTATATTAATAAAACCTACGGAAATTGAAACAAACAAAAGTAAAGTAGATTCTAATTACAATTATTATAACCAACTAAAATCAGAAATATACAAATAATTTACAAGCGGTGGGAATAAAATAAAATGGGTTAGAGCAATTATTTATGACGGATTTAAAATGCCTATTCGGTTTTCCGGTGCTGTAAATAAATACAAAATTAGCAAATGGTCAAATATCAGGACACAAAATCGGTATGGTAGAAAAACGGAGTATTAGGTGTTTTGGTTTATTTTTACAATAAACAATCTAATACGTTAAGAAACGGTAAGTACGCCAAAATAGTTATTCGGTTTTAGTTGCGGTCGGTGCTAGAAAGGAAAAAAAATAAGGTTAATAAATTAGAGTAATAGCATTGTATAAGTAAATATAGTATTATATTTCTTATGGCCGAATAGTTGAACAAATTTTAGTTCTCGAATTCGTTACAAGGAGGAGGGAGGAGCCATATGTATGTAAACTTGATATTTAATCGTTCACGTTCAATTTTACACTTTCGATACTGCGCCATCTTATGTTCAATAGTTAAATGATCCATTNATTATTGAATAAAATTACAAAACTGTATAGTAAAATTACTAATCAAATTTTTTGTAACCGCTTGGTAAATTTCCAAAAATATTTTGTAATTTTATCAAACTCAATTCAAGTGAATTAAGTGGTATAGTTACAAAACTGCACAGTAAATTTACTAAGCATTTTTATGATAAATTATTGAGTAAAATTACAAAACTGTGTAATAAATTACTATTCAAATTTTGCGGAACTGCTTGGTAAATTTCCGAAAATATTTTGTAATTTTCTCAAATTGAGTTGAAGCATTCTGTTTAGTAAATTTACTAAATTGTTTTGCGTTAAAACTTCCTACACATTTTTAGTAAAATTACCAAAGAAATTTTTAACAGTGTACCTTGATTGTTTATTTGAAAAGGAATATTGGGCGGCACAGACCGAGAAAAACTAGTGCATTTACCAAAGAGCGCGTTAAAAAGTTTTCAAATGAGACACAAGATGAATAATTTCTAATTATATATGACTACGAATGACATAGAAGATCAATAATACCTCGTTGTAAATAATCCAAATGCGTATACAACGGTCCTTTACCGTAACAGATTAAGTAAATTAACAATTCCACTGCTTTTTTAGAAAATACACTGAGCTCTGAGCAACTCATATGAAAAGCGAACATTTATTTTTAAATTATTGATACAGAAAATACAGAACGCAGGTGGTCAGGTAGTGGGGAGGGGAACTATTGGAAGTTGGTAGTTAAAAATTGTTAAATAACTAGAGTACCTTGAAAATTATAACGGCCATTCATTTAGAAGGACCTTGAAAGTGAAATATTGGTGCTAATATTTAAGTTATAGTACGATTACCACACTCAATCATATCCAAGGCCTCAATCTGCTTGCTCCTTGGAGAAATCTGGTTAGTGGTTGCGATACTTGACTATTTATTTGTCTGTTCCAAATAGTACGCAGATTAAGGCCCAGTAATTTTACTGCAACTTAAATATTCACACCTACATTTTACCTTCACTTTCACCCTTTCTAGAGCAGATCGAGGCTCTCTCATATACCTCTAACAGGCTCCCTAGAGATCCCAGACAGTTCAATCCGTGGAATAGGCAGATTGAGACCTCTATACCGTTTGGTAATTCCTTCCCATTATTTTACCTTAACCTTTCACCCCTCTAAGGAGTAGGCATATCGAGGTTCTCAGTGACTTTCTAACAGACTCCTTAGAGATCGCCAACAGTTCGATCATCGCTTCCCATCCTTTTTCCTTCAAAATCTAACCAAATTTAAATTCTTGAAAATGCCTCCAAACTGGAGCCGAAACGTCGAAACTTAAACAATTTCAGATCCGAGAGCATTCCTCACATTAACAACATCGGAAACCTTCATATCTTTGGAATTAGAAAAATAACCATTCGATGGTTCCATTCCCGAACAATTCAAATACAATTATAATATATGAACAAAAGGACAATCATTCTAAATAAATGAGTCAGCTGAAACTAGTAGCTTAGATAAAAAATGTGGTGGTAATATATCCAAAAAATTTAAGGCACACTCTAAAAAAACGACTTTTTTGAACACACAATCATATT